CTCTGAGGATCCCCCACTTCAAGGCTCCTCTCTCGGTCGTTTTCCGCTCGCTTCGGCTGATTTTTGGACGAGCGATCGTCTCTCGGAGCGCTCTCGAAGCGTGGGTGCTGTTTCCGGAACGCGCGCGCGCGGAACACTCACGTTGAAGCGACGTTGAATCACCCTTGTGCGGCCCCGTCGTCGGCGGGCTCGAGCCGCTCGGGAACCGCGGCAGGTCCTCGGCGACGACGGGCGCGTCGGCGTCGCCGTCGTCGAGGACGCCGGCGCGCGGCAGGTTCGGCAGCGACTTCATGCGCTGGAGCTGCTCGAGCTCGCGGATGCGCCGCTCGTCCTCGCGCATGCGCCGCTCGAGCGTCCGGAGCCGCGCCTCGCGGCGCCGCGCCTTGTCCTCGTCGGCCTTGCCCCGCCGCCGGTTCCGCTCGGCCTCCATGGCGTCGACGCGGTCCTGGCGCTTCACGGCCTCCATGGAGTTGTCCTTCCAGAACCGCCCCTGCACGTTCCTCGAGAACCCGGCGCTCCGGAAGTGCTTCGGCCCGCGGTTGTAGTTGTCGCCGTCGCCGCCGCCGCCGCCGAGGCCGCCGCCGATGACCGGCAACTCCGCCATGTCGCGACGACCGTCGGCGGAGAGGAGCCGCGCCGGGTCGGACGCGGCCGGTCGCGACGCCGCGAGGAACGGCGCAGGTGACGCTGCCCCAGATGCGGTCCGCAAACGGCGCGAGCGGCGGGGCAGCATCGGCTTGTTGAGGAGGCAGCCCAGCCGGCATGGTCCGTTCCCAACCGCTGTAGTGAAGGCGCGCGCCCGGCGAGTAGATGTCCGAGTTCCGGCGGCGCGGCGCGAAGCCCCGGGCGGACGGCTGGCTCGCGCAGGAGCGGGGCGCGGCGCGCGAGGAGCACGCGAGCGGCGCGACGACGACGAGCGCCGTCGTCGACGAGGAGCGCTTCGCGTCGCTGAGCGCCGGCGACGTGCTCGACGTGCCCCGGCGCACGGCGTCGACGCAGACCTTCGCGCTGGACGCCGGCGACGCCCTGCGCTGGGAGTTCCGCGTCGGCTCCCACGACCTCGGCTTCTCGCTCCGGCGCCGCGCGATGCGCTGCGGCGGCGCCGTCGAGGAGGACCTCGTCGCGCCGCGGCGCTACGCCGCGGGCGTCGCCGTCTGCGGCAACTGGGACGCCGCGGAGCCCTGCCGGGTCGTCGCCGTCTTCGACAACGAGTACAGCCTGTTTACCGCGAAGCGCGTCGTCATGCGGATCCGCGTCGAGCGGCGGGCCCGCGACGCGTCCGGCGCCGCGACGGCGGCGCTCGCGGAGCAGGCCGGCGAGATGGACGACCTCCGCGCGCGGCTCGAGGCGGCGCGGGCCGAGGGCGCGCGGCTCAAGGCGCTCGCGACGACGACGCCGGCCGGCGACACGCCGTCGGACGCGGACCTGCTGCGCAACGCGCAGCTGCTCCGCGCGGACGCGGAGGACGCGTTCCAGGACGGCCCGCCGGCGCCGTCGACGGCCGAGCTGCTCAGCTTCCTCGACACCTACGAGGACGCGAACAACCGGCCCGCGTTCGGCGACGTCCGCCTGCCCAACGGGAGCCTCGTGCCCGGCCCGACGATCACGGCGCTCTAGTCGGGTAAGCCTCTCCAGGGTCGCCTACGTGAGCGTCTCCACGGTCGCCTTCTCGGGCATGAGGCGCCCCCGCTGGTAGTCGGCGAAGCACTGCTGGATCTGGTCCCGCGTGTTCATGACGAATGGGCCGTGCTGCACGACGGGCTCGCCGATGGGCCGGCCCGCGATGAACAGAAAGCCCGAGCCCGCGGCGTTGGCCGTCGCGCGCAGCGCGCCGCCGCCCCGGTCGAAGAGCACGAAGGTGCCCGCGGCGACGACGTCGCCGCCGA